GCGAGTGCATCAAAGAAAGGTGCTCAATCTGATTTCGAGAAGAAACTGGTGGAGTTTTGCAAGAACCAGATAGAGACAGACGATTCACCAGTCTACGGGCGCGGATTCAAAAAAGTTAACCATATGGTCAGAAACTCCAGTCTCCAGAAAATCCTGAAACAGATTCAACGCCGGGCGTCGAGCACGAAACCAGATTCAAATAGTTGAATCAGCCATATACCACACTTTGACACATACGCACGTTTTCAAGCCACCACTAAGTACTTTTTTCTCCCTAAAGTTAGAACCTTTAGACGATTTTGCGTTAACACCTAGTGTTAAGACTAAAGATTTGTAACGGAAAAATAGACATCTAAGTCCATAATTTTCGTTAGTCCCATTGCCATTGTGACAAATTAGTCCCTTTCTTTATCAGGTTTTGAATTTTTCTTATCAATCATTTCACACGGTACTATCATCAGTTTCTTGAACTATTTATTCAAAGCTAAAACGGCGGCGTTTCAAGATGGAGGGAAATTCATGATTGAAAAGATTAACATTTACGAAAATGCCACTGAGAAATGAGTTAACGCCACGTGTGACGACAACAGCTGGAAAGACAGGACCACAAGTGTGTTTTTCTTTCCTCTTTGACGCCGACTCCTTTCTCCTTTCACGACCAATTCAACAACACAATCGAGTGAAAGTAGATAGACCATATATATAAATCGTTTCTGGAAATTTCTGGAAACGCTCGAGGAAGATCCGACCGAATTTTCCACTTGTAGAAAAGAAAAGGAAAACGCTTTTAGCTTTGCTATTTGGGCTGCAAAGAGACCCAAAAGCCATGGCTTCTGGTTTAGCATCTCACCAAGGGTTTGGGTAAATGTTGACTTTTTTGGTTATTTAATTTCAAATTGAAATATTTTTTGATTTTTCTCCGAGTCGTTTGTAAATAAAGTTTGACGGGTTTATAAAGATTCTCCGTCGTAAAGTTTTAAATGGGTCGTTGCGACATTCATCTACGCGTCGACCTCAAATTTTGGGAATTCTAGAAAGCCATGTGATTTTTTTTTCTCTAGTTATAGTCTCTGCTCTGCATTTCACTTTCTTCAGTTCAAGTGCCCGTACTCTCGGCGAATTTTGGGTTTGTTGATTCTTATTCCTCTTGATATTCCGTCTTGGATCCTCTTCTGTTAAATTGTTGTTTCAGATGTTCTTTCTCTTGTTTCATACTACTATTCAGCTGTGTCTGTGTTGGGTTGGTTTGGTCGTTGTCTTGTTCTGTATGTAATGTTGATGTCCTAATTCACCGAGATGATCACCAATTTGATTCATTTCTTAGTATAATTAATTGTTTCTGGTTAAAGCTGTGAACTTTCTTTACCTAGTTTTCGTTTTTTTTCTATCTTTGTTCTGTATGTAATGTTGATATCCTAAATTCACGGAGATGATCGGTTTCCTATTGATCCTGTGAACTTTCTTAACCCTAGTTCTAGTTTCTTTGATTAAATTTCAGGCATCTTGCCTCTGCTTGATCCTTGAGGTTACTTTGTTATTCTCCATGATGATAAAATGGTTGATAACTTGCAGGGAAAAGATTGGCCAGATCGGTGAAAAAGTGGGATTCAGAGTATGGGGTGGTGCTCCTGCTTCAAACCCTTCACTTCTGTGGTAATATGATATGTTTGGTTGTTTCTTTTGTCTCAGCAAAAGTTTGGCTTATGTTTGGTTTGAAGTTGAAATGCCTCCTTTTTCTCTTTCTAAACTTAACTTTTGGTGTCTGAAAACCTCTAGGATCCTTTTGAAGAAGAAACTGGTCTCGCCTTAGAAGTTTCACGGCTTGAAGCTGACATTCAAGAAGCTGAACAGGTTGCTTTGGCCATGGAAGAATCTTCCCGTGAGGAGGAAGAGGAAAGAAGGCGCACCAGAGAGAGAGAAGAGGAAAGAAGGCGCATCAAAGTGATAGAAGAGGAAAGAAGGCGCATCAGAATGATAGAAGTGGATGCGCAGATAGCAAATGGTTTTCTATACGAGGATAGAAAAAGGCAGAATAATTATAACTCTGCATTGGAAGACGAGCAGCTTGCTAAAACTCTTGCGAAGAGTTTGAAGGAGAAAGGCAAAAGAGAACAGTTTGAAGAACAAGTGAAGAAAGATGAACAGCTTGCTGCGATTGTTCAGGAGAGTCTAAACATGGTAGAGTCTCCTCCTCGAACTGAAAACCATAAAAGTATTCCTCGTAGCGCTCCGTTGGATGTAGATGAGCAGCTTGCTAAGGCTATTGAGGAGAGTTTAAAGGTCAAAGGCAAAGGAAAGCAATTTGAAGATGAACAAGTGAAGAAAGATGAACAGCTTGCTGCAATTGTTCAGGAGAGTCTAAACATGGTAGATTCTCCGTTGGATGAAGACGAACAGCTTGATAAGATTATCCGGGAGAGTTTGAAGGGGAAAGGCCAAATAAAGCAATCCAAAGATGAGGTGGAAGACGATGAGAAGCTCCTAAAGGTGGATCCTCCTCGCAGGTAAGCTTATGCTTCTATTGCTAGTTTCCATGCATTCTTAACTCACGTTACAGATATGTCCTGACTTGGTTAAGAATGTTTCATTTGTAGCATGTGTGGTGGTTGCAACTCTGAGATTGAACATGGAAGATCTGTGGATGTCTTAGGTGTTCCTTGGCATCCCGAGTGTCTCTGGTGTGATGCTTGCCACAAACCAATTGCTATCCACGAGGTTGAAAACCATGTACGGAAAAAATCCTTTTTTTGAAATTGCTCGGTATCTTAATTTACTTCTTCATTTGCTCATTTGTATTTTCTTATGCAAAATCCAAATTCTTAATATCTATCTAACTCCTTAGGTTTCAAACTCAAGAGGCAAGTTTCACAAATCCTGCTATAATCGGTACTGCTATGTCTGCAAAGAGAAAGTGAAGGTATGTGCAAGTTATGGATTCTCTGTTGGTACTTTTCACGGTGTGGATTGAAAGTAACTCGAAATGTAATTGTATTCTTTCAGATTATCAATCAGCATCATTTCTGGAAGGAGAACTACTGCCCTGCTCATGATTCTGATAAAACTCCTAAGTGTTGCAGTTGTGAGAGGTTACAGGTGAGTTTACCTTTCACATAACATTACATGGCAAAAAGGAATGAGATGAAATGGAGAAGGAAACTATAATCCCACTGGTTTGAGTTCTTATGTTTCTTTGCAGCCTAGGGGAACGAACTTTGTGATGCTTGGTGATAGTCGGCAGCTATGTCTAGAATGTATGGATTCAGCGGTTATGGATACTTACGAAGTCCAGCCTCTGCACTTTGAAATCCGTGAATACTTCGAAGGCTTAAACATGAAGATTGAGAAAGAATTTCCTTTTCTTTTGGTGGAGAAACAAGCGCTGAATGAAGCTGAGAAGGAAGAGAAGATTGTGAGCACACTCCCTTACTCAAACTTCCA